AAGATTGATTGGCAATTATAGAAAACGGTTGATATCCAACTAGTTAATAGGTTTGGGGGTGGGGGGGACTACTTTTTCACACAGTGTCGGGTAACTTTGAATAGATATTTTTCCCTTCATTGATAAAATCTCAAAATACTGCATTTTATGTTTTCGTGGGTTATGTTTGTCTGATGTTTACATGTTTATGGATGATCTTAAAAATTAAAGTGGGCAAACTATACCAAAAAAATTAAGAATATGAGAAATAGGCAAATACTTTGTCATGGCATTGTAAATCCTATTGAGCATCTGTGGCAAGAGTTGAAAATTGCTGTTCACAGACACTCCATCCATACTGGCTGAGCTTGAACTTTTTTGCAAAGAATGGGCAAAATCTCTCATCTATATGTGCAGAGGTGAGAGAGAAGTACTCCAAAAGACTTGCAGCTGTAATTGCAGCCAGAGGTATTGACGCAGGTGGGCTGAATACAAATGGACATTGCACACCACAATTTTTGGATATGTATTTGCCGAAAAACAGTGAAAACTATTGATCATTTTCCTTCCACTTCACAATTCTGTGCGATTTTGTGTTGGTCGATCACATAAACTCTCAATACAGAACAATGAAGTTTGTGGGTTTAAGGTGGCAAAATATGAAAAGGTTCAGAAAGTATGAAAACGTTTTCAGGGCCCCGTAATTGTGAAATGAAGGCATTTCTTATTTAACTGTTGACGTTTGAATTTAGCCAACACTTTTTTTTTCTTGAGCAAAAATACATCAAATCGTATATTTATTTTAAAAATATAAGCACTGTGTCTTTCTGCCTTTTCAGTAGCCCTCCATCAGAGAGTCAACGAGAGGATTTCCACTGCCTTGAAAAAAGAATCCTACCTGTGAACCCAGGTGAGAATAGTAAAGTAAAAAGTTGTCAAAAACCAATTCATAACCATTTCAAACAGTCTCTCTCCTTACTCCATTAGTCTCATGCGGTGCTGATTATGTGACAGGCTCCAATCTGCCAAGTCACTCTGATGTTCAGCTTTCCTGTTTTACGGGTCACAGGATACAGGTGGGTGTGGTTCCTTATTGCTTTATATTATTAACCATTTTACAATCACTGTAAAATGTATTGCAAACATTTAATCTGCATGAAAAAAAATGCCAGTAAAGGCTCTCCTATGAACTAGTGTGCCACTGAGGTGTATTTCTTTTTTTTTTTTTTTTTTTACATGCAGGGTCCTGTATTTTTACTTGAAGATGGCAAATCAGCTATTTCCTTGAATGATGCTCTGATGTGGGCAAAAGTCAATCCCTTCTCCCCACTGGGTACAGGAGTGCGCATGAACCCTTTCTAGCACCCCTCTCCACACACACACACACACACACCTTCTAGCACCCCTCTCCACACACACACATACACACACACACACACACACACACACACACACAGTCTTACAAAAGCAAGTGGTGGATGGTAGAATAAAGTCCTTTAAACAATGCATTTGTGGATCAACTGAGAAAATGTTGTAAAATGTCCTTGTTTAAAATTTTTGTCACTGTGCCGAAAAAACATCCTTTGTAAAGGAACAGTTCGATTGGAGAAGATACTTATGGTGGGTCATCTTCTTGTTTGTACATATGCATACACACAGTATGCCTCTGATGTCGTTTGCCTCATCACTTAAAAAGAACAGATGGACAGCAAAATAAAGCCTGCATTGCATGCCCTGTGTCGTTTTCTCTCCGTCATTTCATTGTAAAGAAAAACGATATAGGCAGCTGCTGACAGTGATAGCTTTGAAAAGACATGTGCAACCTTGTGCAAGTCTGCACGCAACGTATTGTACCATTAATGAAATATACACTTTTCAAATTTGATGAACTTGGAAAATGTCATTGTTCAAAACAGTATTAAGCTGTAAATTCACAGATGAACCTCGGCATACAGTCAAATTAGGTGTGTGTTAATAGACATTATCTTTTGCTTTGAATAAATTAAACCTTCGATAATTTCCTATGTTACTGGAGCATGAAGTTAAGGCAAAAACAAATAGCCCAGTTTAGTAGGCTTTTAACTTTGTTTACCACAGAACTTGGCCAAACAGGAAGAACAGTGTCAGAGCTGTGAACATGTACATTTGTTAAACTTGCACATGCATTTTGTCATTTAGGGAATAAGTACATTACAAGTTAGGGTGATGTTAAAAAAGAAAAAAAGTTTGTGTCTTGGAACACCTTGTTGACACCTTTGATTTTGTAAATGCACAAAAGTACTCATACACCAAAATTGGAAACGGGATTGTCGAGACCAGACCATCGTTGGCTGATTAATTGAGTGTGTGTCTGTGTCTCAATAGTTTTGTTCATTTTTACTGGATATAACTAAAAAGTAAATGGCGACCACCCCCCACCCCCGACTAACAGTATGGAATATTTGTTGATTTGAATGTATGCTGTACAGCCATATCATCACCCATATTGCGGAAAGACGTAGGTGGTATTCCACAAAAACAAAACACCTTAGAGGCCAGAGTCACAATGAGTCTTGAACGCAAAACAACAGGACAAGGACTTGGTCTTTTCTAATGAATAAACAAAAAATTGTACAAAAAAAGATCTCTTTGTCCATGTTTCTTTGTTTGATCTTAATTTTTTTGGTCAAAATAACTATTGCTTCTATCATGAGATAAGCGCAACTCTCCCTCGAAAGTCGAGCCCTTGATTAGTTTAAGCTGCGCTCCAACAGCTTGCCGCTGTTGAAGCAAATCCTACTTTGTGGTTTTTCCCTTTTCCCAGGGAAAAACGGGGGATTAATGTACGTGAATATATTTTTAGCAAATTATCATTATGGCCGTATGCAACAAATGTACCGCCAAACTGTATTTACTGAAATGGGTTTTCTGAACAGGTCCTGACCCCATGTGGTGATATCCTTTACATAATGATGTTGGTTTTTGATGCAGTGGCGCCTGAGGTATCAAAGGTCATGGGCATTCGATGTTGGTTTTCGGCCTTGCCGCTTACAAGCAGTGATTTCTCCAGATTCTCTGAACCTTTTGATATTATCGTAGATGATGAAATCCCGAAATCCCTTAAGTGTTTGTTGAGGACAATTGTCCTTAAAGTGTTTGGCTATTTTATTACGCAGTTGTTCACAAGGAAGTGAACCTCACCCCATCTTTGCTTGTGAATGACTGAGCAATTCAGGGAAGCTGCTTTTATCCCCAGTCATGGCACCCGCCTGTCCCAGTTAGCTTGTTCACCTGTGGCATGTTCCAAGCTGGTGTTTGATGAGCATTCCACAAATTTCTCGGCCATATTTGCCACCTGTTCCAGCTTTTTTGGAACATGTTACATTCATAGAATTCTGAGGTAATGATTATTTGCTAAAAACTGTGTATTCAGTTAAATATAGATTGAACATGTTTAGTAAATCATTGTATTCTGTTTAATCTATTTAGCTTAAAAAACAGGACACCGATGTAGTTGACAGACTCCGCAAAGATGCCTTGAAAAATAATGTTACAAAGAACACACATAAAAAGGTAATAAAACCAAATGTTTTTCTCACAAGTGGCTTATCTGTGAGGCCAAGAAGTATCCCTTCAAAGTAAAAGGAAAGGTGTGGTTCCACACAACAGGAAGCACTTTTCCATAATTTATTAGAAAATAGGTAATTCTAAAAACTGTGAAAAACATCAGTGATCCTTCACAAAAAACAGCAATTAGTATCTGTATCTTTTTCATTTTAATTTGACCACGTAAAGCAAGCAAGGCAGAGCCAGAGTCATGCACTGACGTCAGTTTGGAAAAATGGAGTCGAATTCATTTGAAACAGTGCTGTCCTTTCCAGTTTTGAAAAGCAAGCACTTTTTCATCTCTCCTTTGTCTTGTTGACGTAATCCAACAAAGGTGAAGCAAAGGTGGGACAAAGGTGAGGATATCTGTCTTTCCAAAAAAGCCCCAGGTGTGGTTCTGTCTGTCTCATGAATCTTGCAGGTGCACAATAATTATTTATTTAATCAAGGGCTTCGTGTAAATGTTGTGTTGTACTTTGTAGTCATCCATTGTTGTTTATCCCGGTCAGAAAATGCCTCAGTGAAATTGGCATGGTCACGTCGTGTTATACAGTGCATGGGGCCCAAAAAAAGACAAAGAAATTTGACTCTCTCATGTGTCTTCATCCAGCTGTGTGTGTGTTTTTTATATATATATAGATATATATATCTATATATATATATATATATAGATATATATATATGGGCAGAGGAAAGCCGTTGTAGTGGATGTAGCAGTCCCAAGTGATGGAAACATCAGAAAGAAGGAACACGAGAAACTCGAGAAATACCAAGGGCAGCTGGAGAAAGCCTGGATGGTAAAGGTGACAGTCGTGCCTGTGGTGGTCGCAGCACTCGGGGCAGTGACCCCCAAACTAGATGAGTGGTTGCAACAGATCCCGGGAACAACATCGGACATCTCAGTCCGGAAAAGCGCAGTGCTGGGAACAGCAAGGATACCGCACAGAACCCTCAAGCTTCCTGGCACCCAAGCTGCCCAAGCTGAATGGGGGACGGACACCACCTGAGGGGTGAGACGAGGACTTATTTATTTATGTATATATATATACACATATATATATATATACACACAGTAAATATTCACATCCCCGACACACACACACACACGCACACACTTTTTTTCAATGCATAATTGGCATCAATTAATGTGGATTTTCACTGGACAGCTCGGTCCCGATCCCCTTCGAACAGCCCGGGTCCATTGAATTGCAGTTTTGCTCTGCTGAAGCTTGCATGATTAATTCAGTATGTATTGCAGCAAAGCTGCTATTGCATTAATGCAATTGATATAATAAATCTCATTGTTTCATTGTATTCACATAGTTGAGTAATGTTCAGGGCACTTTGTGCAGTAGATTCCAAACATTCGTGGATTCTATTCCGATAGGACTGCCACACAGCCACCGCGTGTTGTCCTGATGCACCGGACTGTTATGTTTCAGTCTTTCAGGTTACCGCTGTGTACCGCCCCTCTCTTCAGTGAGGAGCGGTCCATTAGGCGAGGATCAAGCAGACATGGGTTCGTATGTGTGGAAGTGGATTCCTTTGGAGCATGTTATCTTCATCACTGCCCCATTTAGACTGGTGTCAGTGATCAATCTCATCATGCCTTCTGCAATCATTGATGGCCTGCAGATTGGTCAACAGGAGAAAGGAGAGAGGCAAAGGACTGTTAAATGACATTGTTTTAAAAAGTACTTGAATTCACATATTTTGTAGAGGAATATGTACTGGCTCGTTGACTGGTACATCTCTGGAGCGGGCTGTTTACTATTCAAAAGTTCGACCAGCATCTTGCACTGTACCACAAAACACCCTCCTCAAAATAGCAACTGTTACTGTATATGGGCCTCATTCAAACTATGTGAGTTAGTCTTCGTACTGTTTGACTTTCTGACTTCATGTTTAGATTCACCTCTGACACTCTTGGTCCACTGCATCTTCTTTAACCCTTTCAGGGGCAGCGTTTAGTACAGTGGACAGCTTATCATGTTTTCAGGTTACAGGGTGCATGAAAGGGTTCATGTCAGCAATTTAGTGTTAGGAGCCATTTGTCGGCTGATTAACTTTACTCAGACACACGATTTTCCTCACAGACACAACATTTTCCCAATTCCAGGCAACAAAAACAGCTTGACTGAAACAGGAATGTAAACAGAAGAGGGTCAGAAAAGGCCTCGATGGTCCCTTGATTTCTTCCGTTACTTTTTTTCGATAAATGTCTTTACGAGATCTTTAAATCCTTGCTTGTAGAGTGAAAATGAATTATTAATGGTACAAGCAGCCATTTGAGATGATGACAGTCTGGTCCTGGAACTTCAGTTTTATTTTCATTAAATCCTATGCGGAAAGTTTCCAAGTCAATACAGTGGTACTTCTACTTAAGAAATTAATTGGTTCTGGAAGAAATTTCTGAACGACAAACTTTTAGAAGTACAGATGCGTTTTCCATGTAAATGCCTTAATCCATTCCAACCCCCCCCCCCACCCAAATTCACACATAAATGTTTCCTGAAGCATAAAAATGTACAAAGTATGTAACAAATACATGTTATAATTAGATTATTGCACAATAAATGAGAGTTGTGCATAATGTAAAAAAAACAAAGAATAAAAAATAAAAATGATGGTCATTTAACTTTTGATTGCGACCATGTAGTTTTTTTGTCCTCTTTAGTCCATGTTCTCTCTCAGAAGGGGTTTACGCCTGGTGTTTTGTAAAGAACTGATCCAAGGATGTTTACTTTTGTCGGCTTTTAACAATCCTTCGAAAATATCCAAGGCAAACATCAGCATAGTGAGCCATTATCCGACTGGTGAACACTTTTTCTGGGTGATTCACATTTATGTAAAACTATCAGAACACCTCATGGCCCGAGGGGCGAATGACGCTGCATACACACCTATTTAACTATCTACACTCATAAACACAGTCGGTCGAGGTCCCTCTTAGCCAATGGGAGGCCAGGACGATGCCATAATATATATAAAACAAAAGATAATAGCCAATGGCAGAGCAGCTATAAGTATGTTGCATTCAGGAAACTCAGAGCTGAAAGCATCAGCCCATACTGTATTTTTACCTTTCGTATCTTGAAATTTCTTTCGTAATAAGAGGCAATATTTTCCTGTTGAGACATTTCGTAACTTGAAAATTTCGTATGAAGAGACATTCGTAAGTAGAGGTACCACTGTACACATGGTCAACTACCATCTTGGAAGAGATTTTGTTCAACCTTAGCTAGTTCATTACCGTTGGCAATTGTATGATTGCAGAATGGATTACTTCAATGTTTGCATGTGTCATGGCAGGCAGACTCACTGTAAAACTCCGAACTTGTTCATGCTGCGCTTGAAATCATCCTTGAATTTAACAAATTTCCCCATGTTTTCCTCCTGTTCTACTGAGTGGAGCAGAGGGGTGTCAACAAAGGCGGGACACAGCACATTGATACGCACGCCGTAGTCACTCTGAGAAGATGCATCCTGTAAAAAATAACATTGACATGCCACCCTAGAAAATACTCAAAAGTATGGCTTGGGTTTTACATGACTAATAGCTAGCTACTAATGGTGTGGGCATGTGTGTATCGTGTATGCGCGTGTACTTCTTACAGCCATAACTCTGGTGAAACCAATGACTCCATGTTTTGTGGCCGTGTAGACGGGCTGGTGAGGAGAGTGCAGGAAGGCTGCAGCAGAAAGAAACCACAAAAGACATCGCCGTGTTAATGCCAATTAGTCATATAGCAATCATCACAAAAGAAATATCAACAGCTCCTCCTTGAGCCGTCACCTTATTGTGGCGGAGGGGTTTGTGCCTTTTGAGGTCTTTATGCCTCTGCGAGGGTTCAGACAAAGCACGGCTCAATACCGCCGCTGATGACGAAAACTATTGTGCCATTTCATTCCCTCGCCTGGACGCGGGTCACCAAGGCCCTCCTCTGGAGCTAGGCCTGGAAGTCGGACTCGATCACAAGCAATTGGTGGCCTCTGTCTCGGTCTCATCGTGATGAAGAGAGAACTAATCTGAAAGGCCAAACTCTCGATTTTACCAGTCGATCTACGTTCACACCCTCACATATGATCAAGAGCTGTGGGGAGTGACCGAAAGAACAAAATAGCAGACAAAAACATTTCTCCAGCGTGCGTCTGATATTCAGGAGCTATGATGAGAATCTCGGTCATGGCGGGAGCTCAGAGTTGAGCCGCTGCTCCACCAAACTGAGAGAAGCAAGATGATGTAGCTCAGGCATCTGTTTTAGATGCCCCCTGAAGGTTGTTGGTGACACCAGCAAGTCCAGCACGAAAACACAAGACTGTTAAATCAGCGCCTTTGATAAAGATTTACCAATCTATACAGTATCGCCAGTCTACACTTCTGTTTTATCCTACGTCTCAGGTCAAAGCACGTGATACTTGTGGGACAGTTCTGTTGGTACAAAGGCTCACAAAAGGGTTAGTTGTGTATAGTGAGGTTTTGTGTGTCAACAGGAACAAGCAAGATGTTGTTCACATCTCAAGTCACATCTCTCTATTCATCTCAAAGTGTGTCAATGCCCAAGTATGAATTCAATCTGTCCTTTTAAAAGTTCAAAATGCTGGCAGCGCAGGCCATTTGTCGACATGTGATATGTGTTACATTCTGCACATGACAGTGTGTAACTGTTACCTGCCATAGAAGATACATTGATTATTGTGCCTCCTTCCTTGCCATGCTCCTTACTCATATGTTCCAGAGCCAGATAGGTCCCATTTATGACCGACGTCTGTAAAGAAAGGGACAACCTCACCATGGTGACATTCCTCACAACAGAGAATTAGAATCTTGATGAGAATAAGTTGCAAATAAGGTGTGTGAAGGGAACAGAAGCGTGTTAACAACCGAGGAGTGGCTTTGCTTCCTTCCCAGCACCAACCCCAAAAATAGATCAGATAAGTCCCTTGGAGAACAAACAATACTTATGTTTGTTAATGAGGTATTTCCTCCTCTTAATTAGCTCAACAGGCAAAACTGGTAAAGATGCGCTTCTCTGCTCTCAGTGCTCAGTCAAATTGAGAAAATACAATTCTTGTATAGCCATGCAGCAGATGACTTTTTTCCCCCTCTCTTGTGGACGTGTCTGTGTGGATAGTCACACATTGCACCGAGCACAATCTTAAGCTTGTAAAACTCAATGGCAGGTTGTTTGACAAGCGTGAGATTGTGCTGTTCTCTTCAAGTCATCTGGCTCTTGCTTATTATCGTCTTCGTGTCAGTCAGAGCTGCCGTTTGTCCAACGTCAACTGTCCTTGACCCCATGTCCCGAATTACCTTGCTCTTTGTCCAGAATAGAACCTCCGGATTTGCATTGCCATCATCTGCCTACTTTTGGATTGAAACATCATCAAAACGCAAAATGAAAAAATTGTTTGAGGATGAGAACCAAGCCATATTTGTCGAAAAATAAATTATGAGCGCAAAACTGATGATCTTATATTTTCTATTTCAACATAAATTTTATAAATCTCTCAGACATCATTAACATTCAATAGCGTGAATCTCTTTTTCTGTTTTTCAAGGCAGAGTTTGTAGAGTGCTAAATCCCAAAGAAAAGGCTGTTTGAATGACAAAGTAAGAGTTGACAGCATTATGCCTCTAGACAAAGAATTAGCAGGAACAGGAAATCAGTCAAACCACACAAAGGAAATAACTCCCAACACCGCACTCGAAGAAACATGAGACAAGTTTATTTTGTACACATTTATTTAAACCATATTGTAAAGGCCTCACTCCTCCACTAAATATTGATGAATGTACTCCAAAGACTACACAGTAAAAAGCGCCGTTCTGTTTTCCTAAACCTCTTGCAGGAAGGCACAGCTCCAGGACTTATTCTCCCGCCGTGAAGGAAGGTTGGAGCGGTGGTGGTGGGGGGTGGTGGGGTTGACCTATGCTGAGTGGGGCTGTGAAAATAATTAAGATATTTTGGAATGTCAAGCAAAATGCTGGAGGGATTTAACTCCCAACCCCAGTGTAGCGCATTCCTGCTTGCAGGGTAGCTTTAACCCTAAGGTTGGGCTAATTACTTTGACCCAGCAGACTGGGTTGAAGATTGGACTTGGGCGGCTGAAGATCGGAAACTGATCGCCATTTTGCCAGTTAGAGTAAAATTAATTTCACATTCTTTGTAAATGCTGGTAGGTGGATGGTTCAGTATGTCACGGCATTTAGTTGTTGGTAAAAAAACAAATATGCAGTATATACTGTCTATATATATATATATAGAGAGAGAGAGAGAGAGAGAGAGAGAGAGAGAGAGAGAGAGAGATTGTTGTGCGTGTTGTGTTTTGTATTTATTAAACTCTGATTTTATTTTTTTACGAAATGCACAAAGGAGTGGCACCCAAATTTCGTTGTATGCAATACAATGACAATAAAGGTGATTCTGATTCTGAGTCTGATTCTGATATATACACATATACACACACACACACACACACACACAAACACACAAACACGCACACACGCACACGCACACGCACACACACACAAAAAAAAAACGCACACACACACACACACACACACACACACACACACAAACACGGTGGTTGAAATCCTCAACCCAATGCGTTGGGTATATGGTCAATAACCATGTATTGGCTCGGTCTTTTCAAAAATTCAGTCACCATTGTTCAGTTAGTCACCCACATTACGTTAGAATACAATGCAGTACACAGATAACAATGATTGTAAATATTTTCCACCATCCAAAAAGACAGTAAATTAGAGGGCTCGATGACTGGGCTGAACTTTGGCATTTACGTAACCGGTCTGTATGTACCGTAATATAATAATGGTGTCAGCACTACAATTCACCATCCTGAAAAACTACGTAATGATTTCGGAGGGTTTTTTTTTTTTTTTTTTGTGATGGCTTTCAGAACTCCTTACTGATGTCTATTATTTATGGACGGGGACTGCTTTTTTTCAGAAATTATGAGCCTGACTATGACATTGAAGGGGCAGCAGCAGCATTTTACTTTTTGTTTCCAGGCTTGCTATGTCGACGGCCCGTTGTTTTCAAATACATTTCCAAACAAAATGGCTTACTTTCAACGAAGATAGTGGTTCCCCACCACATTAATAAGATAAGAAATAAGAAAACCTTTATTTGTCTCACTATGGAGAAATTCACAATTTACAGCAGCAAAATTTTGAAAGGAAGAAAGTCGAAAAACAAAAAGATGCTGAGATTCTCCTTAGGAGTGACAAGGATGGACAGGATCAGAAATGAGGTCATCAGAGGCACAACTCAGACAGGAAAGTTTGGAGAAAAAGTTAGAGAGGCCAGACTGAGATGGTTTGGACATGTACAGAGGAGGGACAGTGGATACATTGGTAGGAGAATGTTAGAAATGGAGCTACCAGGTAGGAGACAGAGAGGAAGGCCAAAGAGGAGATTCATGGATGCCGTGAGGGAAGACATGCAGGTAGTTGGAGTCAGCGTAGAGGATGCAGAGAACAGGGAAAGATGGAAACTAATGACACGCTGTGGCAACCCCTGAAAAGAGACAAGCCGAAAGGAGAAGAAGAAGAAGAAAGTCGAAAAAAAAGTATTTGCATGCACAAAAATCCATTTAAAAAATGAACTGTACAGTACAGAATGAAATATAAAATATAAGATATCAGCATATATGCATCTGCAAAGGTCCTCCTGCTTAAATTGCGGTGCTACCTATAACATCTGTGCGGCTCCTCGGGCTATGTCTCCCCCACTTCATGGAAATCAATTGTCTCGGTATGAGGGCTCTGACTTTCGTTCCCCTGATCTCTTCTGTCCAAGAAACTGTCATCGCAAGAGCGAAACTATGAGATTAGTGACCGTGAACTGCTGGCTGTTCAAGTGGCCTTGGAGGAGTGGAGACAATGGCTGGAGGGAGCTTCTCAGCCCTTCCAGATATGGACAGTTCACGAGAATCTGGAGTAATTGAAATCCGCGAAATGACTGAATTCTAGGCAAGCTAGATGGGCTCCTTCAGCCACTTTGATTTCACACTCTTTAACCGACCCAGTTCTAAGAACGGCAAACCTGATTCCCAGTCTCATATCTCTGACCATGATCCAATTAATCTTGAACCAAAGACTATTCTGCCTCGGTCTTGTTTTGTCACTGTTTTTGTCTTGGTCAGGGATGCTGCCACAAAAACAAAGGTGGATCGGTGTTCACCATCCAGAACCTCCTATCTGCTCTGCGTTGGGGTCCGGGACTCCAATACCTGGTGGACTGGGAGGGCTGTGGGCCAGAGGAGCGCTCTTGGGTGTCCTCTGGATGCATCCTGGACTCCTTGACTGCCACGCTGACAATCCTGAGATGCCTGGTACGTCGAGAGCCATCCCTTGAGGGGGCAGTACTGCCGAGATCTACAGGCTGCTCTCTGCCTCTCCGCCATCTTCCTCATCTGTGTCACCTGCTCCCTGATTGTTTCGCCCTCACCTGTCTCTTATCTCCACTCAAGCCCTGTATATATTAATCTCGTGTGTCTGTCTCATTGCCGGTTTGTCGATTCTCTTCAGTTCACGTTCCACCATTGCCTCTCGTCATAGTCATAGTCATAGCCATAGTGTACCAAACCTTGTTTGCTTTTGACCATGCCTATTGCCTCACACCACTTGTACCTCTGCTCAATCATTTGTCTCTCACATGCCCCGACCTTCAACTGGATTAAATGTTTTTTTTTGCCCTCACCAACTCTGAAACGTGCCTTTGAGTCCAAACCACCTGTGCCTATTTCTTGACACCATACTTGTATCCAGCGAAAGTCTGTCTCGCGGCGTGCTGTTAATATGAGCATGGATGGGCTAGACGAGTGTTGGTATTATCACAGATACATACAGCTTGGCACAGTAAGACTTTTCCGCTGCTGTCAACGTGACCACAACCAACTTGATTTGCAGCCAATGGAAGTGGCTTCTTTCATTCCCTTTAAATTCATCAATTAATTAATCAAATACACTACGCTCATTTGTGTTCGTGGGTGACCGCCAAACTTGTCTCAAAGGATTTACTTACCCCAGTTTACTAAAGTGTGGTGTGAGACATACAGTAGTGTGATCGGTTGAGAGTGAATCAACACAAATGGATTTGGAAGAACATAAAATACTCTTCCTTATAGATGACTAAGGAAATATAAATAAACTCCACACCTATTATCATCTTATCACCTCACCAGGTTTACTTGTATGGTCTTCTCCCAGTTCTTTTCATTGTTGATTCCAGCATTGTTGATGACAATGTCTAGACGACCAAACTGGTCAACTGTACTTTGGAAGGCACCTAAATGACAGAAATCAAACGGCATTAGTAAATAATTTCAGACATTTGTATCACAAGGGACAAAACTTGACACCCACTTTTATGACCACAATCCTTCAATTAAGGGTTTCTATAACCGCCCCAAGGGTAGTATGAAAAAAACAATGGACTTCCGTGATTCTATTACGTAAACCAAAGATAAGACAGTATACACTCAAGTGATGGTCAGGAGATTACATTACAATATTTCAACATGGTGATTGCTCTTCTGCGCTGTCAGACCGATGAAAAAAAAAGAAACTAGTCTAGTCAAATGGAGTACTTTCACTTGAAAGCAAATGACACAGGGATCACTCCAAATTACTGAGCAGTGGCTTCCTCTGTAATATAATTGTCAAGCAGGACAACACCATCCAAAGCTGCAAAAATACAATTCAAGCTTCACTTTTGAATACAAAGGGAAAATAAAACCTCATAGAACAGTCAACATCATCCCCTTATTGAAGATTGAGAACCAGTGGAGTACTTAAAAGGGAGATCTATTCGATGCGATTGATCTTATACCTTCAGACAGCAACTCTTTTTGTGCTTGGTTCTGGACGAAGGTGGATGCTTTTTGCTCTGCTCCTGCTCCCCTTCCCTTATGTCCCTGTTTGCTGACTTGGTCTATGTGCTAGCTGTCCTCTATCTCAACTTATTCTAGCCTCCTGCTGGATTTTTCTACCGAATAACAACCTTTTTTTTTCTGACGGAAAGAGCAGGCAGTGGGGAGCCTTCTTGCCCCTCTGGGACATTTGGACTTCTGATCACAAGTATCCTGCTCTTTGAGTTAGCAGTTTCTTCATGTCTCGCAAAATTCAACCGACAGTAGTGGCTTCACTGGAAGGGAACACGCGTTTTCCTTTCACATCTAAGATCTCGGGCCACTAAACAGCGAACAGCGAGGATTTCCATTCTGTGTCCCTCCGTTGGTCATTAATGTTGTTTATGTTTCTCCGGACGGGTCGTAACTGGGAAGGCAAATTCCTTGTGTGTTTTGCATACTTGGCCAATAAATCTGATTCAGATTCTGATTCTCTAGGGCACATTTTGCATCCTCAAATGAGATAAAGAAGAAACTACACAGACACTATGCAGTTTCAGTGGATGAGAGTTGTTAAGATGGTACAAAACAGGAGGGCAACTCGGGGACCCACCCTAATCAGGTCAGCGGACCAGACGCTGCTGGAGGTACCGGGGACGAAACGGAGGCAAATTGTTAGGACAGTACGTGGACAAACGTATTTGGTGAGACCGCATTGTACAGAACTAATTTCAAGTTGCTGAGGTGTTCTCGGATGCCCACGGAAAAGCTAAGGTAAACATCACAAACAATAATCAGAGATGAAAGTGGACTTTTCTGAAAATTCCGGAAAAAATAAATATATCTATCTATATATATAGCACTTGGCCGATCACGCATGAATTAGTTTCCACAAAACGCTATTCAAATACTCGACATTCAATGATTAATCTTCCTTTTGTGTGCACACGTGTACCCTTTGTGGCTTCCGTTCGGGCCGAAATTTCGAAATCTCCAAGATATGGCGAGG